TACATGGGCAAGTCTCGTGCAGATTACATAGCAAGAAACACATTGTCTCTGACTATGAATGGTCCAGAGTTTTATCAAACAGCCCGCCTTGCCCCTCTCTCACTCAAGTACTATGGCCTTTGCTTGATAAAGGGCAGTTACAAAGTAAAGCTCCACTTTTCTGAAATAATGTATTCTGATAGCGAGACATTCAGCAGCCTTGGGAAGCGCATATTTGATGTCTCAATTCAAGTGAGTAAAAGTGGGTTTGTATTATTGTCAAATTTTTCATTTATGATTGGTAATCTTTTCTTTTTTCTTTACAAGATTTGGTTTGGCTACATGGTAAATTTGGTTGAAGCTTGTAAAGTTGTAATTTGCTTTTTCCGCAGGGGAATTTGGTTTTGAAGGATTTCAATATTATGGAGGAAGCAGGAGGCGTTGGTAAGGGCATCGTCAGAGAATATGATGTTCTTGTTAACGGTAGCACTCTAGAGATCCACTTATACTGGGCAGGAAAAGGAACTACTGCCATTCCTGACAGAGGTGTCTATGGACCTCTTATATCTGCAATTACTGTGACACCAAGTAAGCTTCACCCCTGTTCTAGGATTTCTTCTTTCTCTTTCTACTTGCGTGCATCTTAACTTCATTAAAACTTTTACTTTCTTTTCAGATTTTAAGGTTGATACTGGGGGGCTATCTGCTGGTGCTATTGCCGGCATTGTAGTAGCGTCATGTGTGTCCCTTGTATTGGTTTTGGTAGTCCTCCGACTGAGTGGTTTCTTAGGGGGAAAAGATGAGGATAAAGGTAAGGATAATCTCTGCATATAAAGTTGCTCTTTGCCGCACCAATTCTTGCAAGTAAGGGATGTATAGCCAAGCACAGTGAATTGTATTCTGCATGATCCTCAACATCACAATAGGAGACAAATGAGCTAGTTTTCTTTCTCTTGTTTTCACTATGTCTCATTGTATGGTAAATATCTAAAATCCTTCCTTGTGGCAGAACTGCGTCGTGGGCTAGAACTACAAACAGGTTATTTCACTTTACGACAAATTAAAGCTGCCACTGGTAACTTTGATCCTTCAAATAAGATAGGTGAAGGAGGTTTTGGGCCTGTTTACAAGGTAATGATTACCATGACAATATTTATTTTCCCACATGTGAATTTGGCACTAATTCACTGCACAAATGTGAAATAATTGATGACTAGTGAAAGAAATATTCTTTGTGTAGATGTGATTCTGAAATAACCTTGCTCGATTCTCAGGGTGTTCTGGCAGATGGTGCTGTCATTGCTGTTAAGCAGCTCTCCTCCAAATCAAAGCAAGGGAACCGTGAGTTTGTTAATGAGATAGGCATGATATCTGCTTTGCAGCACCCAAACCTCGTGAAGCTTTTTGGTTGCTGTATTGAAGGAAACCAGTTGTTGCTTATATATGAATACATGGAAAACAATAGTCTTGCCCGTGCTCTTTTTGGTAAATACTTGCAACATCTTCAGCAGAATGTCATAAATTTGGAATAAGTCTTGTATCTTATTTCTCCCTCTCTCCCCCAAACATTTGTAGGTCGTGACGAACAACGGCTAAATTTGGACTGGAAAACTAGAAAGAAGATATGCGTGGGGATAGCAAGGGGATTAGCTTATCTTCATGAAGAATCAAGGTTGAAAATTGTTCATAGGGATATAAAGGCAACCAATGTGCTGCTTGATAAGGATCTAAATGCAAAGATATCTGACTTCGGTTTAGCTAAGCTAGATGAAGAAGAGAACACGCATATCAGCACACGAATAGCTGGAACAATGTGAGCATTCTCTCTCGCATATTTTAGCTTCACTAAGATGTATTAATATGCCAATTAAATTTTTTTGGACTAGAGCTTGTTATCGGACAATGATAATAAGAAATGCATATCTCTGGGATATGGAAACATGTATCTGTTATGACTATTCTGAGTCAGATTTGCGAAGATACAGTATACGGTTTGAACCCCTGAATTAAGCAGATTGCTGTATAATATTAGTGTTAATGAGTTGCGGGGTCATGAATACAGCGTGGCTAATGAATTGAAAGATATCTTGATACTTTCATTTAGAAATTTCTTATATGCTTCTCTTGGCCTTTGTTTGCTAATGATTAATGGCACCTTACTCACTGATCTGGAGCTATCCGCTATTTTTGCAGAGGCTATATGGCTCCTGAATACGCAATGAGAGGTTACTTGACGGACAAAGCAGATGTTTACAGCTTTGGTATTGTTGCCTTAGAAATTGTCAGTGGAAAGAGCAACACAAATTACAGGCCAAAGGAGGAGTTCGTGTATCTTCTTGATGGGGTAAGCTTTATCCGTTATATTATGTGATCTTTTGAAGATTAAGCATTCACAATTTCTTCAGTATGAACAAAAACTTTGTGTTCTAAGTGATTAAATATTTTGTTAAATGGTTTTCAGTAGAGACCTTCAAAAAATTTGTGTTCTAAGTGCTTGTTAGCTTTGCAATTTTCACTTGGAATAGTTCAAGAGGTGGTAAATGTCCTTGTTTTTCTACATGTAATTCAAGGCCTATGTCCTACAAGAGCAAGGAAACATGCTAGAACTCGTGGATCCTAGTCTTGGTTCAAACTACTCTAAAGAGGAGGCCATGACAATGCTTAACTTGGCGCTCTTATGCTGCAACCCATCTCCCACTCTCAGACCACCCATGTCTTCTGTAGTAAGTATGCTCGAGGGCAAAAGTCCAGTTCAAGCACCAACACAAACACACGTTTCCACATTCTCTCAAGATAGTCATGTACGAGGCGCATCAATGGAGGGTCCATGGGTGGATTCCTCGGTTTCTCTTGCGAGTAAGGATGAGACCATGGAACATTCTTCGTCAACCAAGCTACTCAAGGATATGTATGATGTAAATTTACAGTGATGAAAAGCTGATGAAATAAAGGTTTCCAAATTCTTTTACTCAATTATATTGAATTTAGTCCAGAGATTTTTTTTAAAAGGGGTTAGTGGAAAATTTGTACTAGGAGAGTAGGAGACATGTTTCTGAAAGTATTGAACAAGAGTTAATGTGTAAATTATGTTCCTCCAACTGTACCCGCATTTATAGTCTTTTTGGTTCTGTAAGTCTTAAAATATCAACAAATTAAACACTTTGCCTCATATGATCAAAGTTCATATATATATATATATATATATATGTGAAAGCTGAGGATGCTATGTATTTTAGATCTTCTTTCTCCGAATGGGTGCATATTGCTTCACAAATACAGCCACAAAAGTTACACCCTAGATGAGATATTTAAACATGAAAGCATTGAGGTGATGATGAGTGAAGCAATTGATCGAGGAAGGTGAGATGAGAATGCAGCTATGCTTCTTGATGTTTACCTCAATTTCCTATACAAAAAAGTAAAATCTTTTTGTTTTTGCAAGTCTAAAATATCAACAAATTTAACACGTTACATCAGTTTGAGATCCAACTTTCAAGATTTGCTTTGGTGTATGTTCCATTACTCCATTAATGAAGAATAAATTTAGGTTTAATGGTCCCTGAACTTTGACTCGATTCACATTTTTGTCCTTCAATGTCCAAAATCATTTATGTGGTCCTTCAACTTCAATTTCGTTAGGACAAACGGTCCTGCTGTCAATTTTGTTATATTTTCTGTTAAATGCAAAGGCAAAATGGTTTTTTTTAATTATTTTTAATTTCCACCTTTTGAATATTACTTTCCCCCAAAAAATAAAAAATAAAAAACTAAAAAATCTCTTCCTATCCTCACCACAGTAGCCATAACCCCTCGGCCATGTTGTTTGACTGAGGATAGGATTAGGAAGAAGGTTTTTTAGTTTTTATTTTTTGGGTGAAAGTAATATTCAAAATGTGGAAATTAAAAATGTCATTTTGCCTTTGCATTTAACAGAAAAAGTTAACAAAATTGACAGTCAGACCCTTTGTCCTAACGAAATTGAAGTTGAAGGACCACGGGAATGATTTTGAAAATTAAGATACCAAAATGCAAATCGGGTCAAAGTTCAGATACCATTAGCCCTAAAAACCCAAAATAAAATTTGGAGATTGCTAATTTAGCTAGTTGGGCATACACCTGGGTAGGTGTGCCAGTAAACAAGTGTAGCGTTGAAGTGTGTGTCACGCTGCAACTTTATCTTTGCAGAATTAGACCCCAAAAGCTCTTCCTACCGGTTGTTGCACCATCCAATCTGAACCGCCGACTTGTTTTTAGCATCCCGAGAAATAACAGTTAGTGCCAAATCATCATTTCCTGCCTATAAATTGTCCTTCCTACAGTTAAATTGGTTGCAGTCCTTTTCACTCACCAGTGCCTCTGCCTTGTTGTAATCTTTTCTTCCAATTCATCCCCATGGAAGAGCCAAGAATTCTTCAAGCTGAACTTGCTGATAATGGTGATCATGGGTTCTCACAGACCCAGGATGGTTTTTGGGGGTTTGAACCCGAATGTGATGTGGAACCACAAAGATTGTTCAATATGTTGAAATGTTCTATTCTCAAATTGGCTCTAGATGGGGCCTGACAAGGTGATCAAGGACCGGAGGACACCGAAAACTATCCTTTTTTATGCAAATCTTGCTCGGGGTTAGCTAAGTGAACATGGAGAAGTAAGGAGTTTTAGTTTGGATTCAAGTGACAGCAATGCAATTGAAGAAAGAAGATATGAAGCTGAAAGTCCTTGGCCAGAAAATGAAAGGGTACGCAGAAAATCTGGTAATCCATTTCCTTCGCTTCACACAGATGACAGGGTATGGAAGGATTTTGCTAACTCTCTATTAGGAAGCTATAATCCATTTCCTTTGAACATTTTGGCCTTCATTGTGGTGTTGCTGATGAAAATCATAGGATTTCAACTTAGTCTAATGGTCAGCCTCTTCACTTTTCCAATTCGGTTATCCTATTTTTCCTTCATGCTCTTGTTGTTTCCGTTTCAAACTCTTGAGGCTCATTAGAGGGTATTTGATGAAAAAACTGCTGAGAATGTGGAGTGTCACATCTACAAATGTCACTTTAGCTGTATCTGAGCGCTTGAAAGCCCAAAATTCACTTGCAGTGAAAGTAGGTTTGGCTTTCTTCAGGTCAATCTATGTTTGTTTCATGCTTTTTGGAATTCTGGCATCTGGGTTTGTACTGAGTGGATTTGTTATGAAACACCTAGTTCAGAACTCGATTCAGACCACAGAGACCCTGAACTCTGATTACACCAAATCAAGTCCTGTAGCTTTTGTTCCCCTCATGTCGTCTTCGGGTGCCCATGGTGACCGTGTTATACCTTATAATCACAAACTGCAGCTTGCTGTTTCATTGACCATGCCTGAATCCGAATACAATCACAAACTAGGTGTCTTTCAGGTATGATATTTGATCAACCTTGAGCTTCCGTTAAAATCTGTATAGCCACTATTGCAATGCTTATGTCTCATTTTTTACCTAATTGCAAATGCATTATTATGACTTTACCATTTCTTGTGCATCAAGGTAAGGGTACAGTTCTTGTCAGCAAATGGTATTGTCACTGCTAGTTCAAGCTATCCCTGCATGCTGCGATTCAAAAGAGGGCCAATTCATGTCATCGAAACCTTTCTTATAAGTGCTCCTCTTATTGCTGGTTTACAATCAGAAACCCAAGTTCTGGACATAAAAATGAGTGATCACATTGAAGGACTTGAGCCAACTGCCTGCTTGAAGGTGATACTAGAACAAAGAGCAGAGTTTCAATCTGTTGCAGGCATACCTCAAATATATGCTGGATCATTAGTGCTTCAGTCTGAGATTCCTCAGCTGAGAAGGTTTGTATGGTATTGGAGGAGAACAACATTTGTGTGGACAAGCATTATGTCATTCTTGACAAAGTTGGTGTTTATCCTAGCCTTTTTTAGAGCCATAACTGTCCGAAGGGGAAGACCCAAAATTGGTTTAAAAAGTTAATCACTCAAACATCTCTTCTGGCAGAAAGCAGCTGAAGTGTTTCCATGGAAGATTATGAGGATATAGCAGCTAAGTGTTTCTAAATATGTACCGTTAATTACAATGGAAATGCAAGCATGAAAAAGTGTCTTCTGAATTCTGTCTCATTATTTATTTTATCAAACTTTTTGAATGAAATTAATCATTGCCCAAGCTAAGATACTGACTTGGGAATTACCTTGCGAAAAAGAAAATAACACTAAGAAATGGGAAACTCCATCAAAGATTATTAGGAAATGGAAAACTCGAACTCGAGTTCAAATGTAGTGAGTAAATAGTTCCTAACTCGAACTCAGATTAATTATCTTGCAATTTAATGAATACTTCAGTTCATTACTTCACTGAATATTTCAATTCATCTTTTCTAGTACGAAGGCATATTTGAAGAGACCCATAATGAAAAGAATATTTTCTTTAGAAGGCCAGAATTTTAAATTTGTAAAAATTACATGCGAAGAAAAAAATTATACAGTAGAGATTACAAAAGAAAATCAGCAGCTGGTCAGAAAAGAAAGAAAAAAAATAAGCGCTCCCAAATACAGGAAAAACAGGGAACATTTGTATAATTAGCAGAACATTCACATATTCACATGTGGTATTGTATTTCAGAGCTTGAGACTATATACACTTGCATTTGCAGACTATGGAGCCAAAACAATCAAAACTCAAGGACATTGTTTAACTGAACAGAGAAGGAAGGTCGATCAACATTGGTAAGCGGGGTATCCACTCTAAAAACTAGCCCCGAGTTCCCAACATTTCCATTCCACTTGGATCTGCCTACCTGAACATGCCAGACCACATGAAGAAGAAGAAGACAGTAAGAAACAAAAAATCCTAGAACCTCCTAATAACTTTTGTTGTTTACTTGAAAATCATGAAAAAAATTTCTTTGAGATGTTTACATGAAAATAAAAACTTCAGTATAGCAAAGGCCACAAAGCTTGTTCTAGATATTGTGACAAACGAGCCCAGAGACCTATAGGCAAAGGCTGAAAATTATAAAATATACACTGGTGCCAGTAATAACTTACAGATATTGAAGCAAACACAGAAGGATGTGGTGTGAATGCACAACCACATATCAGGTTGAGCTCCTCCTTCACTGAGTGAATGAGTTCTGCCCGCAAACCAGGATTGCTTCCACCAAAAGTGGGGCATAAACTGACCATTGTAAAATTACATGAAACATGTCAACACCAAGTATGATGACTGTTGAAGCACTGGAAGGATGTGCATGAACTACTTGACCCAGTTACAAGATGCCAATACAATTGCTGTGCACAAGCTCAACAGGGATGTAAGAAAGTAATTTATAACATGCTGATTTAAAATATTCACACATTGCATTAAAAGTGCAACAGGGACCTTAAAATATTATGGGGTAAAAGAATTGTGCTCACTAAACAATTTGACTTTGGAGAGACTGCTGAATACCAAATTAACCTCATCTATTCCTCCAATGCTGAACATGCCCATGTCAAAAATTCCAAAATTTCAATCCATTTCCTACAGTATGTAGACATGCAACATATGCATATATCACCTGTGTAATCTATGAAATATCACTAAATTACTCTCGTTAGCCCCAATTCAACTTGAGAATATGCTTTGGCCCAACCAACCCACCCATAAAATCATAGAACAAAAGGAACATACCTCCTAGGACCAATCAGTGGCCTCAAAGACTGACTCCTCCAGACCTCCTAGCCCTCTTAGGAAAAAAAATTTACGTTCGTGTTTTTCTTTTTTTGTTTTCTCCTTTTTTTTTTTTTTCGGCGCAGCTTTTTATTTGTGAGACAAAGTGTGCAGAGACCAGAAGCATATGGTAGTACCATGTTAACATTATATTAAAATAAGATTCAGAACATTAACAGTTACATTCATTTCACTGCAACATTTTAGAGACAAGTCTTAACAACCAATGATGGAAAGACAATAATGTACAGATTTACTAATAGAGAGACGGCAAAAAAACCTAACCTGAACTGAATTGTAGGCCTCACCATGAGACCAGATCTCTGCCAAGCCAAGGCTTGTGAAAGACCCAGTGTAAAAGACTTGTCTGGCCATTGTATCATTGGGGTGATGCGTGTTCCCCACTTATTCTGAGAAACATTTAAACTATCTTAATTCTTTTAAAGCAAGAAGACTAACTAATGAGAACACTACTACAATGATTTGTTAAAGAAGATTACTAGTTTGCAATCTAACCTTGCGAGAGAAACTGAATCTCATTTCTCCAGGATATTGACCTTGAGCTTGTAGAAGGCCTCCACACAGAGGTAAGAAAGCACTTGTAGAAAGCCCTTCACCAGATACAAATGTAAATTGCCCGTTTGGAAACTGTAAATCAACAAATGACTGCAGAGAGAGAGAGAGCGTATGAGAATCAACCCCAAAAACCGAATAATAGTGCTGACACTGAAAAACAAATATACGAAGACACAGAAATCAACTTACACAGGCTAATGGATTCAGGCAGACCATTGACATTAAGAGCCACCTTCTGTGTTTCGACCACACGGCCGGACAAAGGGAATGCATCCCATTCTAAAAATTAAAACAAATGTGCATATGAGAACACAGCAAGGAAAGAATCAAGCTGCTATACGTGACATAGACCTACCATGACAACAACACTAAGGATAAAAAAAGAAGTGAAAAAATCACCAAAATAAATCATAAAAAGCATCCGAAGGATAAGAAATCATCAACAGAATGGAACTAGTAGCTAAGCATGATCGACTTTAATGTACTATTTGAAAGACCTAATTGTCTTAAATTTTTGGAAATATTAAGTGCTGCCAAGGATTGATGCAGCTGTTTCATTAGGGTGCATTGTCATTTTGTTGGGGAAAATAAGCACAAGGCATTAGATGTTACATTTTTATATCTTTTGTAGTTCCCTTGGTTCAAGTATAAGTGTCCGGCTTTCTAAGAAACTAAACATTCCTTAATATTGAGGAGCAAACAATTAAGAAGTCACTTCGTGTGCTCTTTTAAGAGACTACCAGATTCGATCCTCTCTATTGTAGAACCAATCTGGCAGGTTGGATGGTAATGGCTGGGCTTTTGAAGGAACTAAAAGTTCTCTTAAGGTTTTGATTGGCAATTGTTGAGAACCAGTTTGATTAGTCCCACCACATAGTCCATGCAATTTGTTTCTCTCTCTCTTGTAGACTTTTTTATTGACTTACATGGTTTTTCTCTTCTACAGTACTTCTGGTGCATTTGGATGCTGTCCCTCTGGTCCCTTCTAATGAGACTTTCACTTATAAAAGAAACAGTTACGTAAAAGACTATTCCTTTCTTATGCTGTTACTGATGCATTTAAAAAAATGATGCATGGAAACAATGAAGTATAAATGCAAGGTAGAAAAGCTATTCCAAACAGTCAAGTTTGTGGATCATACGATTTTGGGGGAAAAAAAAGAGATAAGTAGAGCACAACTCAAACATAAAACAAACTTTAATGCTAATTCTAGATAGATAGTATTCATATTCATGTTTATGATTATGTTTGATAAAGAACTGGTTGTCACGTAACAGAAAACCATTAGTCAAATGAATTTAATCATACCTTCCTATCATAGCCATACCAAAGCAAGTGTTGCTTTGACAAATGCACCGGAAGAAGAAGTGTCGCATCACGAACAAAGAGTACAGGCCCAAGCTGGACAAGGAAGAGTGATGAATTGTCATTTCTAGAGGTGGAACTGCCACTCGAAGCCTCTACTCTCCATAGATCTCCCCTTGCAAGGAAAGAACTTTCTAGCTGACGTGTTCTACTATCATAAGTTGTTGAGGTATTTATGCTCCCCTGCACTCCATAAGAATGACAAATTAAAAAATGCACATGTAGAAGTTTCAGGTGCTCTTTAGACCTTGCCTATGATAAAAGTTTGACAAGCATCACCCAACCCAAAAAAAAAAAAATGCAGCCTGTTATTGCAGCAATAACAAAATTGACAAACATATACAAATTTCAGGCACTCCTTTTTATCTCTGCTTGAAATTTTACGAGAGAATAACGAGACAAACATATAAAATTCCCGAAAATGCAGCTAATTGTTTGAGAAGTAAGTGATAACAACAAAGATGATGATCATAATCATACATATGATAACAACAATAATAACAAAATGAAAATGCTAAGATGAAAAACTTACCAGTGGTCTACCCAGAAGACCAGCGGACCTTAGATTCAAGCCAGCAAGTTCTTCATCCACCAAACCATCAGAGACACCATCACTCTCCACAACCCTGAAATCCTTCGAGCGTTCCTTCAATGGCCCCAAATCCTCCTTACCACTCAAACTCGCATCTGCTCTCTGCCTAACCTTATCCGAATCAATTCGAACAGCCACTATAGCAGCATTTTCATCATGCCTAAACGGTACCGGTAAGGTCCTAAAGAACTGTTGAACCATCCCATTCAAGCACGCCCCGAAATCCGCCCCGACTTGCCCGATCCTGTTACCGATATTGAGAATCGCGGAAACCCCATTAATCCCGGAGTTCTCGGCCACCAAGCCAACAAAGTCTCTCTTGCCGAAACTCTGGTTCGGGAACTCGAGATCGAAGAGCTTCGACGTGTTAGGGTTAGGCCAAGCGAACGACGGCGTACTGATGTGGGGCTGAATCAAACCCGTGAAGCCCTGCGCAAGGCGGTCCGCTAAGTCCTGGCCATGGCGCTGAACCTCCTCCCAAGCTTCGAAGGACCTCTCCACAGACATTTCAGCAAAAGTTGAAAGCTTTTTGTGTTGTTCCTCTGAAACAGTCACAAGTTCTTCATGGCCCAGAAACAGTGAGATTAGGATTTTGATTTGAGCTTCTAATAATGGAAAACCAGAGCTTTCTTGAGTTTTGATAACAATTTCAAGCTTGAAATTTGAGCTTTCGAGCTTAGAGTTTTCAATCTTAAATCGTAAAATAAAAATCCCAACCTGTTTGAGATTTGTAATGGAAAAAACAAATCTTTTCGAGCTTCTGATGATGTCAACCAGACCCAAAACCGTGAAATTAGAATTCCGAGCTTGAAAATCAAAGCTTTCGAGCTTTTGGGGTTTTCTGTCAAAAAAATCCTGATTTTGAAAAGAGAAAACGATGTTTGTGATGGGGGAAATTCTTACTTGAATCTTCTATAAGCTCTAAAGAATCAACTAAATATAAAATGAAAGGGCAGGGCCATTAGGGTTTTTGATTTGGGGAATCACAAGTTATCAAGTAAGTGTGGAGTAGTAGGAAATAAAAAGGGGATTGGTGGCCTGAAAATGGCGCAGGGTGCGTAGTGCGCACATAGCTTCCGTTGATGCCACGCAAGCGGCAAAAGGATGTGTCATTTGTGTTGTGGGGATGTGTGGAGTTGAGGATAGAGGAGGGAATGTTGGTCCCCACGTTGGTGGATGTAGAGGCCGTCACTGACCAATGATAAATTTAATAAAGATTTGAAGTTTTAAAATTTAAAATATATGTCGACCCTTTGTTTAAGGTTGAACATTTGTTTGGGAAAAAGTTTTGTTCCGAAAATGTTATACAAATTTATAAATAAACCCAATCTTAGACATGTATTTATAAAAAAACTCAAGCACTATTTAAACATAGAAACACACCCAAAATCAACCCAAAAGTCAACTTTTTGGGTGTGTTTATAAATGGGTTTTGAGTGTGTATAATGATGGGTTTTGGGTGTGTTTATATGTTTAAATAGTGCTTGGGTTTTTTTATAATTTCAACTCCCATTTTGGGTGTTTTAGTGAAACTCCCAAAATGTTATGGGTATTACATTTACTTAACGTATTGTGTATCATATTATGAATTTTGTTTTTATTAGAAAAGTGGTATATAAATGCGATTTTTTAAATATTTTTCGTTTGAGAAGTGTAATGATTTTCTTTCAAGTAGAAAGCTTGAGAAGTGTATGAAACATGTTACACATAAGTTTTCTTCTATTCGCGAGGGTTATTGGTAGAAATATTAATGCTGTTATGTTGCCGCAGATTTGATGCATGCAGACAGTTTCACTGCGTGGCTTAATATGGCCAGTGCATTCTTTGGCAAGTATGCCTTGAGGATTTGAGACCAAGTTTTAAAAAGTAAAAATAAAAATGCCATTGCCTTAATATTTTCAAGTCGTGATTTACATTTGTCGCCAAATGTGGTGTGGTTGATGAATGAGTATAAAGGGTTGTACATGAGAATTTGCCAGACCATGAACTTTGGATGGGGTCTCAATTTGTCTCTCTGTTTTTTTTTTTCCTCAACAAAAGCCCTTTCCTACCACATCTAGATGTCCTCATCATGGTGAACTTTCCCAAAACCACAAGGGCTTTCTTTGGTCAAAAGATAACAAAATGAAGATATTCAAAGCGACAAATCTCTGTGGGGTCATTCCAATATCTTTGATTCTCAGTGGCAAACAGACAAATTCTCATATGAATAAAACTGTAAGAGCACTTTTTTTTTTTTTCCTTCCCTTTTTTCCTATTTTTATAATAACAAATTGTCATACAGAAAACATGCCAAACCCATACCAATAATGTCAAAGAATGTACAAAAGCCAATGGTAAAGAGAAGAGACGCTCTATAATCTATTCACTCGTTGGAAACGGTTTGACCATTTTGAGCAGCTATTAAGCCCAATTCAATCCCCTTCGACCATTGAGCCATACCACTCCTTTCCAGTGAAATTTAGGTAATGAGAGACAATGACGAAATGGTTGTGAAAACTATCCCACTCCTTGAAATAACTAACTAAATAGGACTAAAAACTAGAAAGAAACAATCTAAAAAATAAATGAAAGGGAGCTACCGGTGGTGCTCACCTTGATTCCTTTTCCTTTTTCTGGCATTGCAGAAACAAGGAATCAGAGTTAGTTCGATGACAAGTGATCGGTCACTTTGCGCAATCCTCTACCTGTAAATAATATGGTTCAAGTGAGCAAACAAATAATCCATTTGATCTAGCAAATCAAATGTACAGACCAACAGACCTGGTTCTTGAGCTCCCAAGAGTGAGCTCCAGATCATCTGATCCACACTCTTCGTGAATCCTCTCTCCTTCCCATGGCTTAACCAGCCCTGCTGTGTTGCATCCAAATGCAAACTCATCAGAAATCACCTCGGACATTGGAATGTCTGCAGTGTGATCAGAGCCGGCTGCAATGGCAGGAGAGCATGTCCCGCTTTGCCCCGGAGTCCACATGCGAGATCCACCACCAGCTAAAGCCTCATCCTTAAACCCAAATGGGTTCAAAGCGACAAGGCTAAATGTTGGAGAAGTTGGTCCATTGGGGATCCGAAGCCCAGCAAACCATTCTGGATCAGGAACAATCTGCCGTCCAGGGCTTGGTGGAGTAGAAGATGGCAGGAAGGGGTATTGCTGCCCGCCCCACCCTGGGCGAGCAGACTGGTCATCCCAGTCAGTTTTCATTCGGGGTGTTCTGGCAGTTGGGGAGCTTAATGGAGGGGTAACAGGAGCACTGATAGAGCCACCATGGATGTGGAGATTCGGTAGTTTAGAAGAGGAGGCTGAAGAGGATCCAGATGAGAGGTTTTTGAGCCATGGGATAAGGGACCTGCCATCGGCATTCTGATTAGCAGCATAGGAAGACGATGCCGGGCTTGGGAAGGAAGAAGAGCCTGGGCTTGGATTGTAGGAAGCACAAGTACTTGGGTGGCAAGACGAGCAAGGGCTAGCTAGTGTTGATCCACCCACCACGTCCATGCATTCAGCAGGCTTGCATCCCTGCACACATTTGAAGATGATAAGTTGCACATAACAAAAAACAAAAATAGATAATGAGGTTCAAGAGTAATTGCATAAAGCCATAGTCAGAGGTTCATTAAGAACAAATTAGGCTGATAACAAAGCAAATACAGAAGAACCCTCATCTGTTTCAGCCTTAAATGTATGTCCATATTCATAAGAAAATGCATATACATATATATCTGTTGCTTGTGTTTCACCTAGAATAACAATAAATTGCTCTGTCACGTAGTTATTTTCCCATTCTTCAGGGTCATATCAAGGTGCCAGCTTGGGCGCTAGCACCTACAGGCTACAGTTTTCTTTTAGGGAGAAAAGGAATATATCACTGAATCAAGTAATGATATCATATGCAGGGATAAAAGTCATAAGACACATTCCCAGTTGGTGGCAACCTTCATTTCTCTTACAATACCGTGAGGACACCTAAGCAAAGTTGTGTCCTAAAAATTTCAGGTATAACAGTCAACTATACCTTCTAGAAACAATGTACCAGCAACATCCTATGAGTTGCCTGCCATATTTACTTCCCAAGCGATGTAAAATCCAAAGCAACCATGATACCTTCTAGAAACAATGTACCAGCAACATCCTATGATGCAGAAGGCAGATGTGGAGGCATGAATCTAAAATTGAATTAATCAAGGGGAAAAATTGACCCCAAGTTGCTGACTTAACACCACTACCATGACTTGAATCCAAACCATAGTGGGAAAATTTCAACACCTAACCAGTGTTGCCTCTAGGGGACCATTTCAATTAACCAACATTTTCGATGGTTTGGTGACTGAACTCAATTACACATGTAAGGTGCAATTATATGTACACACCAAATTACTCTGTATAGGCATTTCGTTTCGTTTCTGTTGGAACTCTTGCTATTGCCGTAACACCAAACGAAAAATAGTAGCTGGATTTATAAGCAATTTTGTTTAAGATAATATAAAGCTTTTATTAAATGTAGAGGAATTAACAAAGGATGTATAGTTGTAATGTACCATATAAAAACAAACAATGTGACTATGACTCTAAAAAGAGGAAGTTATTAACTTTTAATAACTGTGAGTTATGAACTTTTTAATAACTGTGAGTTACGAACTTGTGATAAGAAACGAAATCTAAAAAATGGAAAACTGAGCACAACCCAGAAAAGGCTCTGCCTGTGTTCTCCTAAACAAAGTAAAAGGTTACTAACCAAATCTATCAACACAGAAAAAGAGATCAGAGTTCACTAAAATGGCACACAAGTACCCCTCAAAAGCCTCGAATTTCCACACCCAAGTGGGTATTTTAGGCCGCAAATTTTGAAAAAGAAGAATTAAAAAGGGTATCTTCGTCGCCTCGAGATCTACGTAGGTACAGGGGTTGCAGATTAACAGAGTCATCGGGAGCCAAAGAAATCATAGAGAGAATCTAGTGCTTCACGCGGAAAAGCGATCATACAAAGAAAGCAAAAGTAAAAGAAAGAAAGAAGAGCTAAAGGCTTAAAGCTAACAAACAAAATAACAGAGCTGACTAGATCTAACGTACACCGGTGACCGAATCTAACCCCACTGATTGTTTACCCCGGCTAATGTGCGCCAGTAACACCAGCGCATCTTAGCAAAACAGGCCGTTGTGCTTCGACTCCAGACAGCGCCCCGGCCAGCATGGGCCGCCGCATCCGGCGTACGTTAGATACTTCTGCTAAAATGCGCCACTAAGGCAGCATGATCAAAATTCCTAACCAACCCTTGTTATCGTGCACCGCTCGTCCAGCGCATGTTAGCACTCGCGCTAACTGCGCCGTCCGCCGGAGCTAAAAGCCTAACGATAACTACTGTTCGAATTCAGCCATCTGTTTAAGTTTGTCTAAGAATCAATCAACCGCGGTAAAAATTTATCAGAAGAAAAGATATTGATGGTGTATACTGCTAATGAACAATTTAACAACGGTAAAATAAGAAATCGAGTTTTATTTTCTCCTTTTTTACCTTGCGGTAAGTGGTGCCGTCCGGTTCGACGGTCCAACCGGCCTCGTCGCAGAGAGCTTTGAGGACCTCATTATTGTCGCAGTGCTTGGGGAGCTTGTAGTTCCCGTACATTCTCAGACCGGCGAAGATCTTCGCCGCTATGGCTCTTCGCCTTCTCTCTCTTCTCTTGTTGTTCTCTCTCTCCTTCCACGTCGGCATACGCGTCCCGTACGTCATCTCCTATCAGTCTCTCGTCTCTGAACCGCCGCCCGCACAGCAACGACGCCGTTACGTGGAGAACGAGAGCTGAGAGCTGAGAGCTGAGATGAAAGTACGTGAATTTGGAGCCTTCGGAACCTGATAGAAGCTCCGGCGCGGACGATACGTTTGGGGGAAGAATTGGAGTGAATTCGACTCGGCCGGAGAATTGAATTTCGTGGAGGATCACTGAATCGGATCGGATCTTTGTGTGATCAGGTCGGGTTAGGAGGCTGAAGGGAAAGCGGTGTCGAAATCGGAAGGGGAGAAGCTGTGTGTTTCTTACTTCTGATGAAACCCCGGGAAAATGAGAAGTGAAAGCAGCATGAAAATGTGTGGGGTTTGTATAAACGAGAGAATTTTGGGGAGAACTTGTATTTGGTCCTATTTAATTGTTATTTTACGACCCTGCCATTATTGCTCTCAGACAGAGAGAAAGGGAGGGAAGGAGGAGGATATTTGGCTTTTTGGTCCATGCATTAGTTGAAAAAGAAAAAGAAACGCAAAAAGGAAATATTTTTCATTGGCCAAATATTCTGAAATTGAAGGTAATTTTTTACAATGGGACCCCTTTTATCTGAGGAGTGAAAAAAATGGGGCCCTTTAATAATTTATTGGCTTATTGTCTTTAATTTTGTTTAAGTTGTGTACAAAAATGATAGTACAACAGCAATATTATTGTCAAAGTTCAAATTCGTTAACAGACAATTTGGATTATTGAAATATAATGTCGAGTGTTCTAGGATAATGATACCGATGCTCTTGTTTCACTTACGTACACTCCAAATCGAACATTTTTAAAATTCTTTTATTCACAAAAGAAGCTCAAGAGGTTAAAAAACGTAAGTGTCAATGTGACTAGGGTACAAAACAAATTTACTCAGCATCGGATCGGAGGTTAACACTTGGCACCTGCATGCACATGGCACTTCTCATACATGACAATTACGTCGACCCCAAAACGATGACGTAATAGGAGCGTTACCTTCCGAGAGGGAAAAAAAAAAGGGAGTTTCATTAAAACACCCAAAATGGGAGTTGAAATTATAAAAAAACCCAAACACTATTTAAACATATAAACACACCCAAAACCCATTATTACACACACTCAAAACCCATTTATAAACACACCCAAAAAGTTGACTTTGAGGTTGATTTTGGGTGTGTTTCTATGTTTAAATAGTGCTTGAGTTTTTTTATAAACACATGTCTAGGATTGGGTTTATTTATAAATTTGTAAAAAAAAAAACCGATTTAGCGTTTCAGGAGATGAACCTAATTTTACAACCGTCTCTGTGACAAACGCTGCATCGCTCGACACGTGTCCAGGCTCTGCTGCTCCGGTCCCGTAACCGTCTCTGTCTACGACAGTAAACCCATTCGTCGTTTTTGTATTCATTATTTTTCGTTTTCAAATGAGCATATAATCTTGCACGTGTCAGAGTCCGGCTCACGTGTCAGGATCTGGGACCAGCCTCTGAGTATGCGTCATGAGAGGACAGCACTTTCACGTGGCCCCACGCCAACAACCTTGAGGGCCCCACTCTGTAACGGAGCACGTGCAAAAATCAAGCTAAGAGACCAGTCAGCGCTCTTCCTTCCTAGTGTTCTTTTTCTTAAATTAATTTGTATTAATTAATTAATCTTATAAGTCTTTGTTGACAAACATTACTCCGTCAAACAACAATTTCGTTTAGTTGTATTGAATTTCAGCTTTTTGGTTGCTAAATTAAGGAAAAATAACCAGCAATTCTACTCTCCAAAATAAGGAGGCTTGACAGCTGACTTCAAATTCAATTCACTGAGACCATATTTGGTCCTTAAGATTGGATTAGATTGTCTAACTCACAAAATTCAAAGTACGAGGCAGTAAGAAATAGATAAATTATAAGGTTTTGTTGAAATTGGAAACGATAAACTTCTTACGTCACAAATCCATTTCTTCTTTTAATATGCTCGGAATATAATGAGTTATTTATTGGGAGTTTCACTAAAACATCCAAAATGGGGGTTGAAATTATAAAAAAACCCAAGCACTATTTAAACATATAAACACACCCAAAACCCATCATTACACACACTCAAAACCCATTTATAAACACACCTAAAAAGTTGACTTTAGGATTGATTTTGGGTGTGTTTCTATGTTTAAATAGTGCTTGGGTTTTTTTATAAATACCTGTTTAGGATTGGGTTTATTTATAAATTTATATTATTTAATCTAATCCAATCTAATCAAAAACACAAATTAGGCCTCAACACATGATTGTTGGCCTAACATGATTATTTACTTGCATAACTACGACATACGAAGCCCTCCACAAGTCCAAATCATTCATTCAGAGATTACATTTGATAATGATAAAACTTGCCGACCACTCGATTACCCCACTTATTAAATCCAGCATTTTGACTTTCAAAAGAGTAGTTACGGGACAAAGTCAACCGCCCCCCAATACGTAATGCTTAATCAAATCAACATTTGGACACAGAGTTTGAAACAATCTTATTGAAATGCATTATGACATCAGAGAGATTCAGATAATCAGAATGTTTGATCTTATACACTCAAATTTGTCAGACGGCCTAAATTAATATACTCATCATTCATTCATGCATCTCATAGGGGAAGTGCTGATCCTGGGATTTGGTCTCTAAACATTTTTAGAAAGGTAAATTACTCAAATGGTCCTCAAACTTATACTCGATTTACATTTTGGTCCCTCAATTAAATTATTCGTTCAAATGGTCCATCAACTTTATATTAATCACTCCATTGAGCCTACCGTTACATTATGTTAATGTTGCCGTCAAATGTAAGGGTAAAACCGTCCATAACCGTCCTATGTTCTCTAAATAGGTGATAAAATGGTGATACATAAGTGATAAAGTGGTGATATATAGGTCAAAAGTCTTATTTACCCCCACAAATATAGCATGTGCTGCTCACATAACTAAGTTTAACAGAAAATGTAACAATAGGACCAAAGCGCCGATTAATAAAGAGTTGGTGGACCATTTAAATGAATAATTTAGTTTATGGACCAAAATGTAAATCGAATACAAATTTAAGGACCATTTGAGTAATTTACCCTTTTTAAAATATAATACCTAAGACAGTCTAGCGCTCAAGAGAACTCAAATGCTGTTTCTGAAGAGAATATATGGTCGGTGAGATACGAGATTCCAGGACGCACTGGTGACCAGAGGAAGCAAGCAAGAACTTAGATGAAACTAAATTCATAAAACCAGTAAAAATGCATGCAATGTAACGTGTGCAAGCAAACCCAAATGTAAGACTGAAGGTGGTATACAAAATCTGTCGAGGGATTTAAGAATGTGTTAAGGATTTATGGTTCATCCAAGATAACAGTTTCACATTAATATGGGGAAAGTCACCTTGGAGATATGCATTATTCTTGGCATCAGGTTGAGCACCCTCCACCCAAATTGGGTTGGATTATTTCAGATCCCCCACATGTGCACCCTATATAAAAGGAACAAGGTTCAGAAGAAAAGGAGTCTAAATTGGAACCAAAAAACGCAATAACCGAAAATAATAAGCCTCAACCTACCTCGAACAATGTCGTGCAAATAGTAAATTTGCCTCATGAAGTGGTTTTACTTAGCCTCAACACCTCCTTGAGCAATCGACTAACAGAAGACTTTACTTCATCAGACACAACCAGCTGTGGAGGCACAGCATCCAGAGCATATAAAGTGATAGTATTCATAACATCAGCCAGATCCAAATTCTTGGTGCCTCTATTCCACACATTCTGATTCACAAAGTTGCATGATTGTTTTAAGACACATTTGCTACAAACCTGAAGGTGACCAAAAACACAAAACAATAAATTTATACAATATTTAAATTTATTGAGTGAAATGAAGTCAGTGTGAGAGAGAAAAACTAATAGGACAATTGACTCACAGTATGTTCTTGAATATCAAAAAATTTACGCAATCT